ATCTGTGTCTTTGGCAAGGGGTATATGTATCCTCTGGTTTCCTAGGCAGGATCCTGAGCCAGGGCAAGTCTAACTCAATAAACAAGAATTGGTGTCATCATCGCCATTACCTGATGACACTGGGATGTCTATTCGGTGACACCAGGAGAAAGGGATCTACAGCTTTCCTGTTAGTGGTTCATGGCTTGGTTTTAGGAGATTTAAAATATCTCAGGTGAGAAGAATTTTTAATGAATTTTGTTACTTAAAAAACTTGCAAATAGAAAACTTCATATATGGAAATTTAACTAAATCAGAGGAATCATTTAAGGCAATTTTTAACCATATGATAAGCCTCAGTACTGGTTATTTTTTCATCATGGCAGCCAAATACCTGACAAAAAGCAACATGAGGAGAAAGGTTTGTGTGAGTTCAGAGTCCAGGGGAGACAGAAGATCACAGTGGAGGAGACTCAGCCACAGGCAGCTCACAGTGCGTCACCAGGAATGTCTCTTGGCTGACGAGAAAGCAGAGACGGACTTCCTCCTTCTCCACCTTTTTATGAAGTCTAGGACTTCAGCCTAGAGGATGGTGTGTCTACATTCAGAGTGAGTCTCCCCTTCTCAGTTAAGCCTTCTAGAAACACCCTCGATGACATAGCCAAACACATGTTCCCTACGTGTTTCCAAATCCAAAAAGATTGTCAATAAAGATAAACCATCTTACTCCCTATGTATAAACCCTTATATATAAACCTCTCTATACAAACCATGGATAGAATTTATCTTGTATTAACTAGGTAATGGGATGGAGGGATGAGCAGGGATATCTAAGAGTTCTTCCACTTAGCATCTCCTAACCTCAGAAACCCCGGGTTCTTTAGACATTCAACATCTATTACTTGACTCTGTGGGTGAGAAGAGAGTCAACAGCAGAGGAAAATTCATATTGAAAGCAGAAATGTGAGGAAGAACTTTGGCAACCAACAGAGAAGTGGGGGAGGCTGGACACAGCAGGAGGGTTTGAAGGACAACCCAGAGAAGAGCAGAAACCAATTCACAGCACAGGCTGACCACATTAGGTGAACTGATGACGTCATCACCAATAAAAGTCTATGGGCCAGCAGTTCTAACAGCTGGGCAAGCCTGTTCTTCCTACAAGTTTTAAACACACTTTAGGAACTTGGTTTTAGAGAGACTCCATCTGTATGCCAAGCAAACTGTAGAGGAATTCAACTCAGCAGTCCCAGAGTGCAGCAACCAAGAGCCATCTTGCCCAGGGTCCAGTCCTTGGGAACTAAAGTGCTCTGGTATAGATGTAACCAACCGTCTTATTAAATAAGAAACACAGAAACAATGCAAAAGAGAAAGCCGAGAGGTCAGAGCTCAGAGCCAAAATCTCACCCTTCCACCTGCGGTGTCCCAGCTTCTCGAATGAGACCTATTTCCTGTCTGTTCGTCTCTTTATAGTATTTTGTTCTACCTTCTCATTGGTTGTAAACCCAAACACGTGACTGCCTCGTCAATGTCTGAATGTACAGCCCCCTAGGTCTTAAAGGCATATGTCTCCAATGCTGGCTATATCCCTGAACACACAGATATCTATGGGATTAAAGGCGTGTGCCACCACCGCCACACTCTTGCTATGGCTCTAATAGCTCTGACCCCCGGGCAACTTTATTTATTAACATACAATCAAAATCACATTTCAGTACAATTAGAATACCACCACACTCTGGGAAGCAGAAAGCAGGAATGATCACAATTCAGGGTCCCCATGAGCACTGTGCCTTGCATTGGATAGGTTGATGAGACCACAGGGGGAAAAAAAGCTGCAAGGAGTCAATGAGAAGTTTGAGAAGGGGCCCATGGGCTGTGATGGAGAGTGGAAGGCACTGTGGTCAATGAGATTTGTAGAAATAGCCAGTTCTGAGATTGCCAAGGTTAATAGTGACAAATACCCCACTTGCCCAAAGCAGATCTGAGCAATGTGGTTGTTCCATACATTTGGGGATATCCCTAATATATATGCACTGTGGCTTGGACACCTGGCAGATTCTCAGGTACACAGACTAGAGACCTCCAGCCTAGATGAACTCACCACTCACTAACACCCTGCTTGAGGCAGAGAAGGACTTGCTGCTGCAATCGAGACATTAATCATACCACTGGGATCACAGGAGGGAACCGGCAGTGACTGCTACATGGACTAGAGAGAACTATCTCCAAGCCAGGATCTTAACCACAGGAACTTTTGATCCATTTTTCTTATTATTTTCTTCTGTCTATACTAAAATTTACTGTTTCTATTTTTATCATCAGATTTCATTTTCCTTTTATTTATTTAATTGTGTGTGTTCATGAAGGCACACATGTGCATATGCAAGTGACTTTGGGGTGTTGTTCAACATATATATATATATATATATATATATATATATATTGTTTTATTACATATTTATTAACTTTTTAATTTATTTTTTTGGGGCATGGAGAGATGGCTCATCAGTTGAGAGCACTTGCTAGTCTTGCAGAGGACCAAAGTTCAGTTCCCAGCACCCACACAGTGCCTCAAAGCCTTCTATAAATCTATCTTCAGGGGACTCAATGCCCTGTTCTGCCCTCTGCAGGCACCAGACATATGGTGTGCTTACATACATGCAGAGAAAACATTTGTACACACAAAATAAAATAAATAAATATTTTTAATGTATTATTTGTGTCTATGCTGATTACTTTTCATTGGTGTGATTAAAACATCAAGACCAAAAGCTGCTTAGGAAGAAAAGGCTTATTTTGGATTATGGTTCTAGAAGGGAAGTCCAATGGTGAGGGAGGCGTAGCTGCAGGTAGCCAGAGCAAGAAGCTGCAAGGTCACATCTTTAACCTCAAACACAAGCCAGAGGAAGCAAACTAGAAGTAAGGCAAGGCTCTAAACCCACCAAGCCCAGCCCCCAATGATGTACTTCCTCCAGCAAGGCTCTGCCTCCTAAAGGTTCTGCATCCTCCCCAAACAGTGCCACCAACTGCAGATCAAGCATTCAAGTGCCTGAGCCTATGGAGGACATTTGGATTCAAACCACCAACTCAAAGGGCCAGCAACCTAAAGGTGATCCCTGGAACCCACATAAAGATAGAGGGAGAGAACAAGCTCCTAAGTTGTCCTCTGACCCTCATGTGCATGTCCACACACATACACACATCAAACACATATGTGCACACACACACACACACACACACACACACACACACACACACACACACAATGCAGTATTTGAATGAGCCATGTCCATCCAAGCTCAGAAAAACATATATTGTATTTAAAGATAAATGTATGTGGTAGATGAATATCTACCATATACAAAATGTATAATTAAATATATACATATGGATCCTGAGAGGGGAGGAAGAGATTTTAAGAGCATGGTAGGAAAGAAAGGATGATAGGAGACATGAAATATGAAAACAGAAGAGTAGACTGTTTGAGGAAAACAACACCAGTCAGGCAGAGAGCATAAATCACTGGGAAAGACAGCGAGGGAGCAGAGCAAACTAGAAGAAAAGTATAATGATACACTTGTCATTGTTTTGAATACTTACTAAAAATTAATAAATTATTAGAAAACAAGGAGCTTGGACCAAATATTTCCCTGGAGCTTCATAGGGAGCATGGCCTTGCCACTACCTTGACCTGAGACTTCTGGTCTATGTATAAACTCATGTCTTTGCCCTTACACAGAATTACGAGGAACGTATTTCTATTTAAGCCACCGAATAGCCAGAGTAGCCATAGAAGACACAAATTCTCTAGCTTTCCAATGTCTCTTGTCCATCTCCTCCTGTGTATTACAGTAAGGCCTATTTTGTTCACAAATATATACCACAGTGTGGTGGTTTGAATGAAAATGGCCCCCAAAGGCTCACAGGGAGTGGCACTGTTGGGAGGTGTGGTCTTATTGGAGTGGGTGTGGCCTTTTTTGAGGAAGTGGTGGGGATGGGGAGACAGGTGGGGACTTTGAAGGTTTAGAAGCTCAACCTAGGCCCAGTGGCTCACTCTTCCTGCCTGCTTCCTGAGAATCCAGCTGTAGAACTCTCAGCCTCTCTTCAGCACCATGTCGGCCTGTGTGCTGCCATGCTTCCTGCCAAAAATGACAACGGACTAAACCTCTGAATTGTGAGCCAACCCCCAATCAAATGTTTTCCTTTATAAGAGTGGCCATGGTCATAGTGCCTCTTTCACAGCTAAGACAAATAGTAAGAGCCAAAAAAATGAAGTTGATATCTATGAGTAGATTTTCTTGAGATTATTGTACTAAAATGTAAATCTATCCATGCTTCTAGTCATTTCAAAAGGAATGTTCAAACTTGTAACAGTGAAGAAAAGAGACTACTAAGCTGACAAGCCAATTCCCAGTTTCAGTGTTTGTAAATGCATAACTAATCCTATTTAATTCTATACTCATTTCCCCATAGTGTAGATTATTTTAGAGAAAAACAAATTATTTTACCATTTCATCTGTGATTTCATCTGTCTCTACCTCTAAAACTTGAGAGTGCACATCAAATAACCGTAATACAAACAACAGACTGAGAGAGCATCCCTAATCCAAATTCTCAGAACTCGGACATGCTCTACAACTCAGAAGTGTTTCCAACACCAATGTGATAACACAAGTAGAAATTCACACACCATAAAACTTTGTTTCATGCACAAAATGTCAAAATACTGAATGAAATTACCATCAGGCTATATGCAGAAGATGTATATAAAATAAATCAGTTTTGTTTTTAGGCTCGGTTTCCACCCCCAAGGTACACACATACATACATACATATAGGAAACATACATACACAAATTTATATGATATGTGTGTGTAAATATTCCATTTTTTAAAATCAACTCTAGAACTCTTCTGATTTCAAGCATTCTGGGTAAGGCATACTCAATTTATTGCTACAGCTAAACATCAATAATCTTTTTTGTATTGTATAATCTTCAGTCGATTTCAAATTTCCCTCACCTGACTCATCATTTTTACAGGCTGTTCAAATAAGTCCAAATACAGTCATGATGCAGTTGCTTGATGTTCAGGCCTCACCATCGAGATTTCTTTTAGATATAAATCCTGGTCTCTCCATTTATCTGTTTTTCATCACTCTTCTCTCTCCTCTTCCTCTCCTCTCTGTCACTGTCTTCTTTGAAGAAATTGGCTCATTTGTCTCATACAGTTTCCATAGTCTAGATTTGGGAAATAGTATCACAGTCTCATTTAGCATAATCTTTGATCCCTGACAGTTAATATTAAGAACTAGAAGCCTGGTCACATTTGGGTTGGAATTTTCTGTAAGTCATGCTGTGAGCTCCCATCAGAGGCACAGAACATCAAGTTGTCTCCCTCTGGTGCTATTAGCAGTTGTGGAAGATTAAGGCCTAGATTCATCTTTTCATTAGAAGCTGCAACTGGATGATAGCTTAATTCTGTCCTTCCTTTATTAGCTGGAATAGTTCTATTTAAAAAAAAATCCCCTTTATCAGATTATTCATTATCCTCAGGCACAGTATACATGAGAAAGTCTGGATAAACTATCCCTTCCCTTTATTTACCAGGCTTCAAAATAATGAGTTTGTTTCCTAATAGCCACTAAATAAGGGGTATTGGCATTTTTGTTTACCTAAAGTTATCTGTATGAATTCTTGGCTTTTAAAATGTGAATAAATGGTTAACAAAACACATTCTCTGTCTCTGTGGAAACACGACCTTGGGTTAACTATCCAGCTCCGTTCCCCTGGAAACTAATAAAGGTGGACAGTCAGCTTGTTACCTGGCAACACTGCTCATGATAAAAATGACCTCAAATAATAAACTACCTGGTCTAGGAGGACAGTGAATAAACTGAATTCCTCGTGGGAGTCCATAGTTAGAGCTGTGAATACAGGCCATGTCCCATAGTAGAAGCTGTTCTCATGGGACAAAATGAAGGTGCTGGGTCTTATGGGAAGTGGAACTCCAAACCAGGTGTAGTGGGTAGCCATTCCAGCCTTGATCTGGAAGTTCCAACCCCCACTGAGGCTTCAGCAACTGTCACACCTACAAGGCCGGGCCAAAGGAGGCACCTGGAGACTAGAGATCTGGATGGGCCAGCATGCTCTCTGTTCCTGGACCCTTGACAGTGGAGATTGACCGAGCAGAGCTCCAGAGAACACTGCTGGACTGTGATAACCTTCCCCAAACCCCATGACCTACCTATCCCTTCATTTGTAAGTTACCCATTAAATAAATCTTCCTTTTAACTACGTGGAGTAGCCTTAATAATTTCACCAATACCAGGTGCTCCCAAACCTGTTTCCTTCATCCAGGTTCCACAAAGAACAGACTCTGAGATGCAGGTTTGCACAAAAGTGGTTGACTGGCAACTAGTCTTGGGACTGCATTGGTTACTTTTTGTGGTGTGATAAAATACCATTACCAAAAGCAACTTACAAAAGAAAGAGTTTATTTGGGCTTACAGTTACAGAGAGAGCATCCACCATGGCAGGGAAGGAAGGCATGGACACAGGTGGCAGAATCAGGAAGCTGAGGCATCACACCTTCACCAGCAAACACAAAGCAGAGAGAGTCATCTAGATTTGGCAAGACTAGAATCCCATAAGATCTGCACTCAGTGAGGCACTTCCTTCAGAAAGACTACTTCCTAAAAGTTCCATAACGTCACACTACGTGGTCAACAGAAGACCAAATATTCAAATACCGGAGCTATGGGAGACATTTCTCATTCAGACCACCATAGGGACTGAAGTAAATAGGACTCAGCAGGAATAAAAGACAAATTGCAATATAATCAAAGTTATCAACCTCAGCCAATCCAACAGGACCTCTTTGGCAACTGGGATAATCCTTTAAAATTGTCCCACTGTAATCAGGGAAGCTATCTGAAGAGGGGCATAATCTTAGATGAGGATGCTTCTCCTCACTGCAAGCAAGTTCTCAAAATAGTCAGCTGATCTGTGAATAGCTGGCTCTCCAGGTTAGTGGAGGAACTGGGTGCCTCAGTCCTACTCAGGTCCATGGCATCACACCTCAGCACCACTACACTCACTCCCTGGGGTCTCGTTCCTTCCCTCCTGAGCTGTCACTTGCCCTGGCCATACTAGCTTGCTGCCCCACCCCTCCACCCCCATTGTGTGCTCTACCAAAATGAAACTAGCTCTGAGGGGACTTTTAAGTGTTATAAGATGTAGATCCATGTTTACTGTGTGCTTGCCCAGATCTAAAGTCACCCATTCTTCCATAAAGCCCAGCTTCCTCTCGGTGATATCCAGGGACCGTAATCTGGGGAACAAAAGTGTCTATTACTATTGGGTAAGTCGTGGTCCTTGGGACTCTTCTGTGGCCAGAGTCAGCACTATTTTTAAGAGAATGTTTCCAGCTCATTCATTAACAAATCACCACAGCTAAGCAAAGGCTCCAAAGACAACAAAGCACAACTGGAAACTAGCTTAAAAAATGAGGCTAATTTTTATTTTCAAACAATATGGCATGGGTTGGTACTGGTATTTCCAATTCAGATCAGTGTAGCTGGGTTTTCTTGATTGTATCTGCCACCTGTCTATGTGTCCTTTCTTTCTTTATGACAGCACAAGCTCTCATTTACATGATTGTTCAGTGTGCATTCAACCCTTTCATAACAATATGATCACCACCAAAACCTGGGTGATTAATAAAGAATCAAAGATCTATTTTCTCTTTTGTTTTGTGTTAGTTACAAGTTAAAGGATAAAATTCAAAGAGGGTCTGGTCAAATGACTGTGCTGATGCACCGTTCCTTTTGATTTGAAATAATTCCTCCTATACAGAACTCAACTTATAGTTAAATTTACTTGTTTCAATGTGTTATTTGTATTTTACTTTGGTTTATAATTATGCAAAAAGATATTTAAATTGCTTTAAAATTAATTCTATAAACTAAGATACATAGCCCCTTCCATTTTGCTCCTTTACTCTCATAAATCTAACTTAGTTTATCTTTACATAGCATATAAAATATAAATCAAAGACTCCAGGCTTTTCCTGAAATGAATGGTGGTTCCATACACCATCTCCACACTGCTATTTCACTGAATAGTATATCTCAGGGATCAGTTTCCAGCAGGCAAGGGTCTCTTGTTCTCCTAACAGCTCAGCCAGACATCATGGTGGTTGATATTATTTGATCCATCTCTGTCCACAGTCATTTATGTTTCATTTTGGTTTTATGCTGTTACAGATAGTACTATGATGAGAAACTGGATATTCAAATGCAAAAGACTGAAGCTTGGCCTCTATTCTCGCCTTCTAGGGGAAATTAAGCTAAAAGGGATCAAATCCATAAATATAAGGCATGAAAGTATTTAACGGAAGCGTAGGGGAAGTGCTTCCAGACAGAGGGAAGACAGTGTTCTGTTCACAGGATTGTGTGTTTTGTTTTGTCTACGGCCCCTAAAGCATAAAAAACAAATCTAAAAATATGCAAAGAGGATTAAATCAAACTATAAAGATTCCACACAGCAGGGGAAATGATCAAGATTGTAGAGAAAATCGACATGTTGATACGTTTTTGCAAACTATTCAAATAACAAAGGATTAATACCCCGAATATATAAGGAACGCAAGCAACTCAGTAGCCAAGACAGGTAATCCAATTTAGAATGGACAAAGGAGATAAGCAAACATATGTTAAGAGAAGAAGTTCAAATGGTCACCAAATCTATGAAAAACACTCAATGTCATTGGCTATGAGAGAAACATAAATCAAAACCGCAATGAGCTACCATCTAACCCCAATTAGAACAACTGTTACCTGAAAAGAAAAAAACTGATAAATTGCTAGGAAGAATAATGAGAAAATAAAACTCACTAACTGTGGTGGTAATCTAATTGTACTGAAATATTATTTTGATTGTATGTTAATAAATAAAGTTGTCTGGGGGTCAGAGCTATTAGAGCCATAGCAAGAGTGTGGCGGTGGTGGCACACGCCTTTAATCCCATAGATATCTGTGTGTTCAGGG